GTAAATGATGCACCTTGAGACCATACTCAAGTGAAATAAATCAGACATAGGTGTAAATACCACATTGTTTGTCTGGTGTGAAAGAAAAAAAAATCAAGTACAGGAATAAACTCTCTATGATGAATGTGATCATTATGTATATCTAAAATGTACCAATAAAATCTGATTTTAAAAAAATCTACTCCAGGTGGATTTTGGTGAAAAGAAACGGAAGCTGACTGGGCAAAAGAAAAGGGGACTTGCTATTTGGGGAGAAAGAATTACAGTAATCCACTTACTTATGTCATTAAATTAAAAGAAATATATATGCATTAAATTGGAATTACAGGGATGTACTACCACACCTAACTTTTAAAATGATTCTGAACAGAAGCTTCAGTCAAATGGAAAAGCTTATACTAAAAGGGGAAGAGAAAAGGAAAAAAGAAAACACTTTTTAGACCTGGGAGTATATCTCAGTGCTAGAGTACAGCCTACCTATCACGTAAGCAAACACACACACACACACACACACACAAACATACACAGGGTTCACCAAAAGAATGGGGGGAGCATTTTTAAGTGGTAAGGAGGAAAATTATTTAGGCTATGGAAATTTTATCAGAAAATGATGAGATTAAAAAAGACATTTTAAAACAGCCACACACATTGTTACCTGACCAACTCCAGATACATCTGCCAACTCCAAGCCAGCTCTCCATTGTTTCCCCTTCACACCGGGCAACAGAGGAACCAAGTAACCCGGCGACCTGATCATGGACAAAGCCAAGGCCCAGAGAGACAGCAGACCCAAAGAGAAAATATGGACCTGACTAGAAGCACTAGCCCCAAGAAAAACCCATGGCTACTGTAAACTGAAAAAACAACATGGGGTTTTACTCCAAAAGTTACTCCTTCACAGAAGGCTAGAGTTGGAGAGGACACCCAGTGCAGCACCCGCCATATTGCCAGTTTAATCACACTAAATTGGGGAAAGGTTTAAGCCACAGAACACTACAGACCAACTTGAGGGTTTCCAGTGTTAGACTCCAACAGTGACTGGGTGAGAGACAGCCACCGGAGACAGTCATAGACAGGGCACAAAGTAGACACAGACCAGCCTGAGAAGTTTAAGTCAGGCCAGAAAAGACACAGGCCCTGCTCTCCATAGTGAGAAACCAGGCTAAGTGAGTATGGCATTCAGAAGACTAGACCTGGAAGTGCTGGCATTAAATGAAAGAGTCTGCTTGAACCCCTACTCCATGGCCTACATCTAGCAGAAACCAGAGAGCTAATTGCTTTCCCCATCTACCCACATGAACAAGGACAGGCCTCAGCTTGGACTGATGACATAGTCCAGCATGAACAGACAGAGGAGCCTCTAGAGCAGGGAGGGTGCCTCACAAATTCACAGGCCATACAAATAAGCAGAGACATCTTTAGTTAGTGTCTTCCTAATGAGCTGCTGGATTTCAAGACTGGATCTTGGAAAGAAAAACTACTTATTTTAAAACACAGAGGATTTTTTAAAATTGAATTCATTTTTTGTTTTTTGGTTTTTTTTTTATTTACTGCTCTTTTTTATCTTTTTCCTTTACTGGTTTTTTTGAGCAGCTGGAGGTTTTTCCTTTTATCTTTTCTTCTCTTTTTCTTATTTTTCTCTTTGTCCTTTACTGTATGTTTTTCTTTCTTTTTTTTGTTCATTCTTTTCCGCTACTGTTTCTTAATACCATTAATTTCCTTTTACCCCTCATTAGGATCCCTATCTCACTTTTCTCTCCTTCTCACCTTCCACTGATTAATCTTCCAAATTTCACTCTTCTCATTCTCTGGTTCCCTATTCCCCTCTACCCTTACTAATAAAACCATTAAGATTTATGAATCCTTAGATAATTAACTATTACTACTGTGTGATAATTAACTGACTGTGTCAACTTGAGTAAGAAATAGCCAACTAAACTGGCTGCACACACTCAAGGTGAATCTGTATCTTACAGCAATTCTAAACTAAATGGGAACAGTAATGTCTCAGAACTGCTGAAATGACTCAATTCAACATGAGTGCAATTTAGAACTCTCTGAGACTATCTCAAAAAAAAAGGAAGGGGTTGGGCTAAAGGCAGGGGAGGCGACTGAGGAAAAAAAATATATTATAGGGCTGGGGATTTAGCTCAGCGGCAAAGGTGCTTGCCTGGCAAGAGCAAGGTTGTGAGTTCGGTTCCTGGTACCGGAGAAAAA